TATCAACCACACTAGACAGCAGATGGGAGTGGAAAGCCTGGTAGCCGGGAAGGGGCAGAGGTTTTGCTGTTATGCTGCCCATAAGGCTTGTATGGCAGCTCCTTTGCTTACACTCCTCTCTGGGTACTGGTGCGGTGTCCGCCTGCTCCTCGCCTAGTGTGGCGGCTGGTGCCGGTGCCTGTGTCCACAGTGGGGGAAGCTGGAAAGCACGTCTATCGATGCTGTTGGAGCGAGGCTGAGATGTTACAAACCATCCCAGTAACTCCTCTACTGATGGGTGCTGAAATCTTGGGGATGGAGCAGGGACGCCTCCCACTAGCCAGCTTGCTCAAAGCCCCGTCCAATCTGGCCTAAAGGACCAGGGGTCCCACTGTGGTAGTGGGGCTCCTGGCCCCTCCAGTGCTAGCCCATGGCGAAAGGCCAGCCTCGGCCTTCCCTGCAGCCCTGGTGCCATGGGGCACTCCGCAGCGTGTTGGGATGTAAGCGCTGCTGCTGCTGGGGGCACTGTCCTCCCTGATCCCAATTTTAGATGTATTATGTTCTGAGTTTTAATGCTACTTTGAAATTTGTAATATCCATGGAAATACTATCTCTGCACTTAAATCCTTCAGTTTAATTGAATAGAGCTATCATTATCCAGAGCTTGTTTATGTATTGCTGCCTGCAAAATAGAGTCAATTTTCCAGACTGAGATGATGAATATGAGCACCAAAGACATTTTGTAATTTAATTTTAATAACCATCACGTATTATTATTTTAATAACCATAAATAATAATTATTAAAAAATAATGGTTCAGTGCTTTGTACAAAATCTTAGAGGGAAACCGATGCCATAATATACAGTGGGGGTTGCGTTACAGCTTATTATTTATTTTGTTGTCGGATGTGCTCTTTACTGTGAAGCAGAGCTGCTATGGGTTTGGGATTTTTTAGGTTTGAACTTGGATACCACTGAGGTGCTTTTGCTCCCACTGACGGCTCTGGAAACTGGATGAATTGCTCTGAATATTTCCTTATATTATTTTCTCCCAAAAGTCTGGAGGCAAAGTCACTTTGGGGCATGCCAGAGCACTGTGTTCCAGGGCTGTTGCACTAGCCCTGCTCCTTTCACTGCCGTGTATGTTGTGAAGTCCAGGTCTTGGCTTAACATAGACTGTCCGAGCCTGACCCAGGGCAGCAGGACCTGCTCCTGTGCCTCATCCTTGTGGCCATGGCCCTGTATGGGGCTGTCCCCCACCCTGCCCTGGCCAGCTGGGCTCTCCCAGCTCAGTGCATGCAGCTGTGCCACTTCACCCCAGCCCCAATCAGTTCCACCTGATAATACATATTTATTAGCAACTCTCAACACCCGTTTTGCTTGGATGTGGTGCTCAGTGTGACTCCAGCAGATGGGTCAGCCGTCAGCCCGGCACTGCCGTGTCGCTCACACCCTCCCAGCTCGGTGCTGGGGCTCTGCAGGCAAACTAAGCCCTGTTCACAGCAGTGTGTTTTGGCAGGTACATGGGGACGGGAGAAGGCTGCGTGTGGCCGTGGGGAGTGGATCAAGACTACTCCCTAGAGAAATGCATCCTGCCCATGTTGGCCTGGATGTCGAGTGTGAAATGAAGGCGAAAGGACAGGATGGTATTTTTTTCATGGCTCCACGCATTCGCTGTGTGGGCACTTCACATGTATATAGGCTTCTTTCAGTGAGGGCCTGGTAGTGCTGAGCACAGTAACCTGCAACCCAAACCCATCAGCCTTGTGGGATGGTTTGATGTCAAATGCTTGCTATTTATTGCTCTTACTTAGCCCTTGTTTGTTCCTGAGCTTATTCTGCTCTTGCTGAAGACTTGGCTGAAGACATGCAGGTGGGCTCAGTGCCTGTGCCCCACCACTGTGCTCATGTACAACGGGCACCACAGCTGATGGCTGTTCTGAAGGCAGCAGGGCCCACAGCCAGGACCCACTGCTGGGCACTGAGTGCTGCCCTGGGAAAGGCACTGATGTGGTTGCAGATGTGTTTTTCCCTGCAGCCAGGGACACCATCACGGGGACCCTCCATGCAGCAAGTGTGTTTGAGTTTCAGGGTATGCTTTGGCCAGGAGGTATCAGACCAGTCACCCAGGTCCCATGCTGTTGGCTCTGCAGTGGCACTCCCTGCCTAGGGCCCTCGCTGTTGGGTTCTTTTACCAGATGATCTTTACATCCCCACAGCGAAGTCTTGCGCTGCTCTCGCCCAGCCCTCAGCAGGCACTGGGCACTTGGCACCCATGTGGACCCTGGAAGGAGCCCAGTGGGAGCTGGTTTCTGATGGGCACCACCAGGCTGGTTGAGCCAGGGTACCAAAACAGGAATATGCAGTTCTCAGCAGTGCCCTCGGTTTAGTGTTGTGGGTGGCCCCAAACTAAATCCCTGTGGGACATCCTAAGCAGAGAGGGACAGGCTTGCCTCCTCCTCTGGGGAAAAGATCAGCTGGCTCTTTTTTTCTTTACAGTTTTATTTACAAAATGTATTAAAACTCTTTGTACAACACCTCATTAAAATGAGGCTCAGTAATTGATGCCCACACATGCAGTTTATGCTTTTACAGCCATTAGTTTGCTTGGCAATTTTTTTCTGCTCACTGAAGTGCAGTTTCAAAGACCCAAACCAGGAAATCAAATTACCAAAAAAAAAAAAAAAAAAAAAAAAAGGGAAAGAAAAAAAAAAGGAAAGAATCAAAGAACCCCCAAATCCCCCAAAGTAAAACATACTGAAACAAATCATTGTGAGACTACTGCCGAACTTCCGATAGCTTGAAGTTGGTAGCCGGGATTGGTAAGCACTCAACACATTTTGTTTTAGCTTTACATGCAAGTTTAAAAAATATCAAACCATTTCTCAAACCCCCTTCACTGGTGTGAAGCTGCCACTTAAAAATTAATCTGATAAACATACATCTTTTATACAGCTTTTAAGAAAAACGTTTGTTTTAAATACAACTCGTACTGCACAGCTTTAGCTCGCCCGCGCTGGGGCTGTGGTCGCCTTCAGAAGTTGAAAAGAAATCACAGTTTCATGAAAAGAAAATGAAAACTGACCAACAATTTGTTGTCAATACCTTGTTAAAAACTCGAACAATAAATTATTCTCCTACGAGCTTTTAAAATGGTTTTTATATTACAATTTGTTGGAAATACTTATTTTTAACAAGACTTTCCCCATAGAATCTTTTTTTTTGTTTGTTTTTTAAATCCTATTAAAAGTTCAAATCTATCATCAGCAAACTAAACGCCTAAGGGTCAGACTGGTTTAAATGAGTTTCCTTTTCATTGTATGTTACTGATGAAATAAAACTCTATAGTAAACTACAGAAAATACATATTGTCGATTAGAGGTAATTAGTATGCAGATATTCCACTGAACATTTCCCATGTGATTGACAATATGTTTAAAGGGGTTTTTTTTGTCTTTTGCTTTTTTTTTTTTAAATTTTATTTTATTTTTAAGATGAAGTTAAGTAGTTTCCAGGCAGAGGTTCAAGGCTGAAATGCTGCTGCTGTCTAAGACGTTGATGTGAGTAATAAGTGAGCCCCTACCTGTACCAGTGTCAGCTGAAGCGCGGTGTCCTCTTCCCAGAGAGGGCAAGGACAGGAGTATCCTCTCACCAGTAGCCATGAATCAAGAGCTGGCAGGAGCTGATATAATATAACAGTACTAGCAGGAGTCATGTTAGATCGCTTAATATTACCCTGGAACTGCAGCTCTACTTTGAATTACTATCCTCTTTCCTTACTTCTGGTTTAAAATGACCATTCCGGAGAAGCATTAGCTGAGCACAGTGCTAGTTGTGAGAGAACTGGAGGGGGGAAGCAGAAGCAGGCCTGGGCAAAACTAACCTGTGCTTCTCTTGCTTCATTGCTTGATATTAAACTGAATTAAAATGCAAATGCACAGCAAGAAAAGAGATATATGGTCTGAACCTAAACAGCAAGTAGCTTTTCTTCTCTTTTTCTTTTTAAAAGCCACCCAATGTCATTTTAATAAAGCACCTGTAGGTATGCCTGATGATAGAAGAAAACCCCAGGAATGCAATATTTTCTGCCTGCACTTCAGCTACCTTGTCAAGAAATTAATTTACTGATCTGGAAGCAAGACATGCAGTTCCACAGATTACTTTCTTTTGGATTTACAGATTCACAGTCATTGACCTTAACTGGCTATAATGCACGGCTTCTTTTCTCCAGGTGTCCCACCTTTTACTGCTATACAGAATTGCTCAGATTAGCTGGAGAGTTAAAGTGGCTCAGAAACAAAAATAAATCACACCACTGGTAAGTAAATACAGAAACATCTTGACATCAGCTCGTACAAGCAGTGACAGGCCAGTCCGTGTTCGCACGCAGCAGACTTCTGAGGCTTTGTGTCAGGAGGAGGTTCACAATTTGATACGATTGGGGTGGCTGATGAAACCGGCTGCGGTTTGCTTTCAGGACACAAGTTCATTTACTGTGCAGTGGTATCAAAGAATGGCTTTTGTTGCACTGATTTTTGTACAAGATTTTTTTTTTTCCACATACTAGTATCTTGTTACCTGTCCATTCCTTTTCCTCTTTTCTCTTTCTCCTCTTCCCTTTTCATTCTCTTTTTCTCTTTCCTTCTTTCTCTTCTTTTTCTTTTTCTTTCTTCCCTTTTCTTTCTCTTCTCTTTTCCTTTTCTCTTTTTTCTTTTCTTTTTTCTTTTCTTTCTTTTTTTTTCTTTTTTTTTCTTTTCTTTTCTTCTTTCTTCTCTTTTTGTTCTCTTTTCTTTCTTCTTTCTCTTCTTTTTCTTTTTCTTTCTTCCCTTTTCTTTCTCTTCTCTTTTCCTTTTCTCTTTTTTCTTTTCTTTTTTCTTTTTTCTTTTTTTTCTTTTTTTTTCTTTTCTTTTCTTCTTTCTTCTCTTTTTTTTCTCTTTTCTTTCTTCTTTCTCTTTTCTTTTCTTTTCTTTTCTTTTCTTTTCTTTTCTTTTCTTTTCTTTTCTCTTTTATTTTTTTTTCTCTTTTCTTTCCTTTTCTCTTTTTCCTTTCCTTCGGTTTTCTTTCTCTTCTTTCAAGCAAAGCAAGAATATTTCGGTGATGGTTTGCATTGTTGTGAGTCTCAGAGTCTTCCATAAGGCACTGAAGGAAAAAAATATCAGTTTTTCCTATTAAAAGTACATTGCACCATCATCAACGCGTGTCATGCCTGACACCTCGGAGAGAGTACAACTGGCTCAGGTGGTCCGAATCCATGAAGTAGCCACATTCTCTGCTGCTTCTCCTCTTGCGTGCTGTCAGGGGGAGGATCTACAACAAAACCAGAAAGATTTCATCACTGCCCGGTGGTGAGGGGCAGGAAAGCTTAGCCTGGGAGAGGCAGAGTCTGTGGGTGATGGGCCAACAGAGTCAGTAGTTCAACTGACTTCCATTCAGTTTTTCAGCAATTCAACCCTACTTTTGATGCCTCGGAAATCATGGTTTCTAGTGTGGACTTTGTTCTATTGTAGATTTTTTTGAGACTTGTTAAAAGCACTTACCTGGCCTGATTATAGCTTAAGAAATAAAGGGGAAGAGGTCACTAGCAAGAAAGACGTGAACTCTGATGACAATATTTTTTAAAGCAACCAACAAAAGCACTTTTATATGCACTGAACTAACACAATGCTGGAGAGAGAAGTTACTCACTTCAACATGGAGAAGAGAAGGTTCAGGGGAGACCTTACGACAGTCTTCCAACACCTAAAAGGGGCCTGCAAGAAATCTGGAGAGGGACTTTTCAACAAGGGCATGTAGTGGCAGGACGAGGGAGGCAATGGCTTTAAACTGAGAAAGGGTATATTTAGATTAGATATTAGGAAGAAATTCTTCCCTGTGAGGGTGCTGAGGCGCTGGCACAGGGTGCCCAGAGAAGCTGTGGCTGCCCCATCCCTGGCAGTGTCCAAGGCCAGGCTGGACGAGGCTTTGCGCAATGTGGTCTAGTGGAAGGTGTCCCTGTCCATGGCAGGGGGTTGGAACTAGATAGCTTTAAGGTCCCTTCCAACTCTAATCATTCTGTGATTCTAGGAAAACAGCTGTCACTGTTGACGATACAGGATGGTACCAAGCTTACTTCTGTTCAGGGAAGACATTTACATCACTAATACTCTGAGATGGCCACCAGATGATGTTTCACAAGCCCTTTTGCAGCAGTGGCTGATTCACACAACAAAGATCACACACAGCTGAAAAAAAAGCCAGAAAGAAAGAAAACCCAGAGGGTTTTAGGCCCCGGACTGCTGCCGTACCCCTAGATTTTCACACTTTCTGTGCCGTACACGTTGTAGCCTTCTCTGTAGGTAGCATAATTCTGGGTGTTGGTGGCGGGGGCAGGTTTGAAGTTCTGCGTGTTCTTGGTGAGTTTCATTCTCTTGGACTCGGCCCGAGACTTGTAGCAGAACTCGATCAGTGCCACCATCATGGCCAGCCCGAGGCCTCCGACAAGGATATAGAAAACCCCAGCAACATTGCTCAGGCTCAGAGCGCTCGTCTTGTCCTAAGAGAAATGAGCCGCGACGTTAGTTTTGCTGTGAGGAGCAGGCAGACAGACAACAGGCTACATAGCACTTAATCCTAGCTGGAATAACTACACTCGTGGGTTCAGTGTCCCACTCACGGCTCACTGCTTTCCCTCCCATCCCAGCAGCCCGGTGACTGCTCTGTCTCTCACTGACTCCAAGGCAATGAGGTTTTTTGGCCACTGATTTCCCCAGGCCTTCAGCATCCTAGAACAAATCTGCCTATGGCCGAGCAGCCCTGGTGGCAAAGGCACCCGGGGAATGCTCTATGGGGAAAGCAGTGGCTGTGTAAAACAGCAGGTTTAAAACAGAGTAAAACACTTAGTTTTGGTGAATGTAAATAAAATTATTGAGATGCTGCTAAACTTATCTACCTTTTTTTCAACAGTTAGGAGAAAAAAAAAACCACCCTAGGAAGATGGTCAGTTACTTTAAGGTCAAGCAGCAGGGCCCTAAGCTAAACTAGCACCTTTGGTGACCATGGGAAAATAGTTACTGAATAAAACCAGTCATCGTAACACACAAAAAAGGGCTGGCCAGGGTTTACCTTCCTTCAATACATGTCAGAGGGGGCAGAAGGCTTGTGTTTTTAAAACAGGATTCTGTGATCAGATTAAATACTGCTGCAACCCTTTTGCTGCTGCGCAGGCTGGATGGAGTTGACGCTGGTGGGCCTGGACAGGCAGATAACGCAAGGGGCTGTGCCTGCGGGATGCCTGCTGGCAGAGCTCGGTTTAGAAGTCCCTTCAGGGAGGGCAATACTTGCATATAGTCAGGATAAAATACTGTCTACCTTGTAAGTACCTGTTCACTTCATGGGAAGTTTGCATAGAGTTAGTTGTAGCAAACATCCTGCCATTTAAACTAAAGCTGTTACTCATTTACACCTCTTTTCAATCACAGTTTCCTTCTGCAGCTGCTGCACATTCAGATGTCCCAAAATCCCAAATTTATCTCAGACACCAGCTACAGGGTTGTGCCTTAGCAACTTCCAGTCCAGCTGAAATCAATGAATTTTTATTATTGCCTTTGATGGAACTTGAAATTGTCCTCCAACACTGAGAGGGTGCTTCCAAATTACAGTTTTCTGTTTGAATGATTATAGAGAGCACTTCCAAAGGCACCAGGGGAGTCAGGCACTCGACTGTGACTGATTTCAGCTGGAGCTGGATCTCTCCTCTCAGTGCCTTTCAAAACGTCCTTTACTCCAACAAGCCCAGCACTTCTACAGGATTTTTCTCCTCAATGCCTCGATAAGCATTAAAACCAAACTAAAAATCCTCTGTGTTTCCTTTCAGCAGAGTGCTGTAAGGTACATACTTCCTGCAATTTAAGTGTGCAGCTACTGGGCTGATCCACTGCCACCGCAGGGGCGGGATCTCCACTGGACTTCACAGCAGTGGCCAGTGTGAGACGGGGCACTGCAGCAGCAAAAGGGTTCAGAGCAGCATAAAAAAGAATACATATTCGTTACATAATGAGTTAATAGTATTTCTAGATTTTTAAAAAAATCAAACCAATTTCAAACTGAATTGGGAAATAGGGCAGGAAGGGCATTTTTTTCCCCTTGTTACAGGCCTGTCCTGAAATGGCCCACCCTTAGCAAGCATGTGACTGTTTCCCAAACTGACATGTAGAGAATGTAAGTAAGTCACAAGTTTGAAACAAAAATGTGTTTTCTTCAATAAAACTAAAAATAAGAAAAGGTGCTGGCCTGAATAATACACATTGACTGTGCTGAAACTTGCACATTTAAATGAAGGTACCAGCCTGGGAGGCTTTGGGGGCTTCTCTCTCCATGTTTTTCTAGCAAAATACTTAAATAGTAAAACATACTTACAACTACAGTCTGTTACTGCATACAAGAAAAATGCTGTCACGTTCAGAGACTTAATTATTTTTTCTATTCTTTCAACCTTCAAAATGTAAATATCAACTTTTGAAAGTCATTCTTTGTATAAACAAACAGTGGGTCAAAATGTGATTGCTAATCAGTACAAAAAGACCTTCAGCGACTGACCTTACTTCCGGAGTCCTTGGCTCCACATTCACCCTTATCGTACCACCATTTGTTTTTCAGCTTGTCTAAGATGCCTTGTTCACTGAGTTTCAATACTGCAAGGTTTACAGGAGTTCTTCACGTGGGAAATAACATAAATAACATTATATTATGTTATTTTATGTTATTCAATCTTTAAACTACTTTAAAACTATACAAAGCGATAAAGCAGGGTTCCTGGCCACAAAGTATTTACACTGCAGGCAACTGGATCATCCCCTTAAGTTAATGCTACAGTAATGCTATATTACCAGGTCCTGCCCATATCGCTTTGAGTAATCGGCACTCACTGTTAAATGAAGGTAGTAGAAACAAAGCAAGTCCAATTTCCCAGTTTGGTGCAATCACAGGCGTTCACAGTAGCTTTACGGTGGGTTTGATCTAGCAGGACCCCTCATATTGCACTAACAGACAGCAAAGCCCCACCAGCGAGTAACTGTGCCAGGTATGTGTACATCTGCAAAGCAAACAGGTTCAGGGAGGCAGGTTTTGCCATCCCTCCTGGCTGTTTCCCTGCTGGTGGTGGTTTTTCCAGCTCCAGCTGTTGTTTGGAGGCTGTGCTCGGAGGCATCGCACGGGCGCTGCTCTCCCCTGGAGCTGCTGCATCCTGAGCGTGCTGGTCCAGCACGTAATAAGCAAATACGGACCTTTATGAAACAAACGAGTGAACATGGAAACACTGGCTGAAGTGCCAGGGTAGGAAGGATTAGAAGGATGAAGGGAGATGCTGATTGTGGTGCTGTCAACAGCCTACAAGCCCAGGGAGACTTGAGCATACCCGTCCCTTCCCTGTGGGAAAACAGTGCCTGATAAGTCCTCAGTTGGATTTTGTCATTTCCATGTCCTTCTTGTGTGATGTCCTGGGGTTTTTCCTGCCTGTTTCCATGAGACAGGCCCCCTCTGTTAGGAACATCCTCAGTTCCTGCTTGAACAGCTTTGATCTCCACTTCATGGCTGTGTGGGGCAGTTGGTGGGAATGAAAGGAATGGGCCCCTATCCTTAATGATGCTGTGCCACTTTGCATGGGATAAAACATTAGGCAGACACACACATGGCTGCCCTGCAACATGCCCCGCTGTGGGTCCATCCATGCCTGCTGTCAGTGGAGGAGATGCAGGAGCTCAGCCATGCCTGCCCTAGTGTCAGCCTCACTTCTCACTTCTGCTGCTCCCTGCCTATCTCCCAAAGATATCCTGCCTATCTCCTACCTCTGCCCAAAGTGCGTGACTCTCTGCATAGACAGACCCAGTAGAAAGAGCAGCACAACCTACACAAACCCACCTAATTACAAGCTTAATTACACAGTGTCACTTAGGGCAATGTCCACAGGCTGGGAGGGCTCAGAGCCCTCGAGCAGCAGAGGTAGATACTGTAAGAAGCAGCTGGTGAAGAAAAGCCCTGTTCCCTCATCTGCCAAAAAGCTGCCTGCGAGGTGGCCGTGAGCCCTGTTGGTGGCTGGTGTTGAAAAGCGCTGCCAGAGGAGCTGTGTGTGCTCTGGGAGGAGACAGGCGTGAGGTGCAGCCCTGGGAGGCAGCATCCACGGTGCGGGGACAGGCTGTGCAGGACAGGCTGTGGGATACCATAAGACTAATGAGCACGTTCAAGAGCTTCTGAGCTGAATGCTCCATGGGCTGCACCAGTGTGACCCTGCGTGGCATTACCAAGGCCAGTAGGGAGGGAAAAAGCAGGGGGAAACCTGCCAAGGTGGGGAGAACCGGTGGTCCCTGGTCCCGGAGGCAGCGATGCGGCACTCTCTGTGTGAGCAGAGCTCCCTGGCTGGCCAGGCAGAGGCA